ACCCCGATGACTCGTGTGTTTGTGGGGTAATCGACCTGATAATCGCAATAGAACTAGATGCACGAATCAGAGAAATCCCATATGGGACAGGCCCGCGCTTCATACCTGAGAAAGGCTGTCTTCTGGGAACGCGGGTGGCCTTCCTGAACTTTATCGTCAATTGGGTGAATGACCCCGCTTCCGAGCGTGCTCTCGTTCTCTTCGGGCAAGCAGGCACGGGAAAGTCATCGATTGCGCATGAGATCGCACGTCGCTTTGATAAAATGCACCGTCTTACGTCATCCTATATCTTTTTGCGGAAGGAGCAATCCGAGGGCGAGGCTTACCGCCTCTTTACAACTCTTGCTCGCGATCTCTCCGACCGCTATCCTTCGTTTAAAGCCGCACTTGGAAGGGTCATCAAAGACAACACCTCTCTTCGACTCCGTACTCGTGACTATCCCACGCTTTTTAAATCCCTCATCCTGGAACCGCTTAAGGGTCTGCACTTCGTCGGTCCTATTCTCATTGTAATCGATGCCTTAGACGAGAGCGGAGATGTGACCGGTAAAAATGGGTTACACGAATTTCTTGCCAATAACCTCTCTAGACTGCCGTCGAACTTCCGGGTGCTCGTCACTTCGCGGCCGGAGGATGGCGTCGAGTCTGCATTCGTTAGAGCACCGTCAGTCAGCATCAAATACACGAACGATATCGAGCTGGCTGCTAAAACGGAAGATGATATTCTCGCCTTTCTTCGGAGGTTTCTCCCTCCAGTCGAGTTCAAAACGTATGGCGTTGCTCTGGCAAAGAAGGCAGAGGGATTGTTTCAGTGGGCGGCGGTTGCATGCGGATACATCCTTAAACCTCCCGCTTCCGTTGGTTTTAGCAAGAAAAAGTTCATAGAGCATCTTTTGAGACCCTCTGCCGGTCACCATAGGCAAGACCCATTGGACGAGCTGTATAGGGAAGTCCTAGAAGGATATTATACGCACCGAGAAGCGCGACTTCTATTCTGCTCAGTGGTGGGGCAGCTCATCACCGCATTTGAACCCCTCTCCATCCGCTCCCTGACCACCCTGCGACATCACACCCCTAATGACGACGACGATTATGATTCGGTTGCTGAAATGCTTCGTCACCTTGGCTCATTGCTGAGTAATGTCAACTCAGCTGATCAAAACCTTGTCATCGTACCTCTCCATACATCATTCCGCGATTTTTTGACCAATAAAGAGAAGAGTGGCGATTTTTATGTTGACCTTCGCGATTCTCATCGTCATTTGGCCCATTCCTGTCTTGGTTTAGTACTCCACGAGCTCAAGTTCAACATATGCAACCTCGAATCGTCGTACCTCGCCAATAAAGACATTGAAGACCTTAACTTGCGCGTCAATGAACACATCCCACCTGCACTATTGTATGCCTGTCGTTTCTGGGACGATCATTTGGAACATGTCGACTTCGACGCTGATCTGTTTGGAAAACTTCGAACTTTCTTTGAGAAGAAACTTCTTTTTTGGTTGGAGGTTCTCAGCTTGACAAGTGGCGTGGGTCTTGCTTCAGGAGCATGCTCGGCTCTAAACGTGTGGTTAGCCTCTGGTCAAGATGTGAGTATAAATTTTTATTCGATGAGTTCGGCGAACAACTAATAACTACGATCACAACAGGTTTCTCAGAGAGAGCTAGAGGAATTCAGGTCGTTCGTCAATGATGCCTCTGTGTTTGTACGATATTTCGGGGGGGCGATGGCAAAGAGTGCTCCACATGTCTATCTTTCTGCCCTACCATTTGCGCCGACCTGTTCTCTTGTCTATGCCCATCATTCCAGCTCATTTCCTCGAATCTTAAGCGTAACACGTGGGCGATTGTCTCACTGGCCATCATCGGAGCTAGTGATCTCACACGTCGGGGGCGATGTCGTATCGATTGCACTATCACCAGATGGCCAGCGCATCGTCTCAGGCTCTTCCGATGGAACAATTCGTGTGTGGAACGCCACGACGGGAGAAGCGGAGGCAGGCCCGTTTACTGGACACACGCATTCCGTCACGTCTGTGGGATTCTCGCCAGATGGCCAGCGCATCGTCTCAGGCTCTTGGGATCGAACAATTCGTGTGTGGAACGCCACGACGGGAGAAGCGGAGGCAGGCCCGTTTACTGGACACACGCATTCCGTCACGTCTGTGGGATTCTCGCCAGATGGCCAGCGCATCGTCTCAGGCTCTTGGGATCGAACAATTCGTGTGTGGAACGCCACGACGGGAGAAGCGGAGGCAGGCCCGTTTACTGGACACACGCATTCCGTCACGTCTGTGGGATTCTCGCCAGATGGCCAGCGCATCGTCTCAGGCTCTTCCGATGGAACAATTCGTGTGTGGAACGCCACGACGGGAGAAGCGGAGGCAGGCCCGTTTACTGGACACACGGATTCCGTCACGTCTGTGGGATTCTCGCCAGATGGCCAGCGCATCGTCTCAGGCCCTTCCGATCGAACAATTCGTGTGTGGAACGCCACGACGGGAGAAGCGGAGGCAGGCCCGTTTACTGGACACACGCATTCCGTCACGTCTGTGGGATTCTCGCCAGATGGCCAGCGCATCGTCTCAGGCTCTTGGGATCGAACAATTCGTGTGTGGAACGCCACGACGGGAGAAGCGGAGGCAGGCCCGTTTACTGGACACACGGATTCCGTCACGTCTGTGGGATTCTCGCCAGATGGCCAGCGCATCGTCTCAGGCTCTTGGGATCGAACAATTCGTGTGTGGAACGCCACGACGGGAGAAGCGGAGGCAGGCCCGTTTACTGGACACACGCATTCCGTCACGTCTGTGGGATTCTCGCCAGATGGCCAGCGCATCGTCTCAGGCTCTTCCGATGGAACAATTCGTGTGTGGAACGCCACGACGGGAGAAGCGGAGGCAGGCCCGTTTACTGGACACACGGATTCCGTCACGTCTGTGGGATTCTCGCCAGATGGCCAGCGCATCGTCTCAGGCTCTTGGGATCGAACAATTCGTGTGTGGAACGCCACGACGGGAGAAGCGGAGGCAGGCCCGTTTACTGGACACACGCATTGGGTCACGTCTGTGGGATTCTCGCCAGATGGCCAGCGCATCGTCTCAGGCTCTTCCGATGGAACAATTCGTGTGTGGAACGCCACGACGGGAGAAGCGGAGGCAGGCCCGTTTACTGGACACACGCATTCCGTCACGTCTGTGGGATTCTCGCCAGATGGCCAGCGCATCGTCTCAGGCTCTTGGGATCGAACAATTCGTGTGTGGAACGCCACGACGGGAGAAGCGGAGGCAGGCCCGTTTACTGGACACACGGATTCCGTCACGTCTGTGGGATTCTCGCCAGATGGCCAGCGCATCGTCTCAGGCTCTTCCGATGGAACAATTCGTGTGTGGAACGCCACGACGGGAGAAGCGGAGGCAGGCCCGTTTACTGGACACACGGATTCCGTCACGTCTGTGGGATTCTCGCCAGATGGCCAGCGCATCGTCTCAGGCTCTTCCGATGGAACAATTCGTGTGTGGAACGCCACGACGGGAGAAGCGGAGGCAGGCCCGTTTACTGGACACACGGATTCCGTCACGTCTGTGGGATTCTCGCCAGATGGCCAGCGCATCGTCTCAGGCTCTTTCGATCGAACAATTCGTGTGTGGAACGCCACGACGGGAGAAGCGGAGGCAGGCCCGTTTACTGGACACACGCATTCCGTCACGTCTGTGGGATTCTCGCCAGATGGCCAGCGCATCGTCTCATCAGGGAGTCTATCAATTCGCATGTCGAATTCTACAACAGGGAACACAGAAACAGCCAGACACGTCGACTTCACTGACAACTCCGTGATCAACGCTGAGGGATGGATATGTGGTAATAATGGTGAACTCCTAATGTGGATCCCGCGAATACATAGGGCAGGTCTTCACCGTCCAAGTAATATCTGGGTTTGCCGGCGAATATCAAACCCGCATCGATCTTTCTACTTTCGTACATGGGCACAGTTGGGCGAATTGTGTTAATACCTAGATAGAGCCGTTACAGCAATCCGTTTTTTAGGTGGTCTAAGGTGTATTGTAACACGCTAGATAATAGCTGATTGAGGTAGTATACGTTGAAGACTATATATCAGTCAGTTACTACCGTCAAGGCGTTGGTGCTGATACTTGGGCATAATCTTAGGTAAGTCATTCTGTCCTATCAAATTCTTGAACGAATTGCTATCAGCCTGAGCCTGAGGTGAGTCGGCAATATCGCGTGACATCATGTCCTCCACGGCATTGTCGAGCGTTTATTACGAGACGTACAGCATAATAATAGAATAAACCAAACCGTGTAACTTACTGCTTTTCTACTACAAAATGACCCCCACCTCAACTAACGACTGGAATAATCACAGAAAAGAATGGGAGATTTGGAACACTGTTCAAACTCAGGGACATGATCGGGTTGTTGTTCTCATCAACGTACGTACAGTACGTACGGGCTCTGACTATCAGACAGGCAAGCGAGCACTAGGAAAAGAGGGAGGGAACAATGGATAGTGCTGGCAATAGTTGAAATCAGGAGGTCGCTGCACGAACGAGTAAATTGGATGGGCTGACTTCTGGGATGTGTACCGGAAAAAAGAATGGGAAGGTGGTGGCATATTGTTGACGTATCGAAGATTAGATCACGTTTTAGATCACGCCCCCACACCTACAGCTCACGTGACTGGACCTATTTATGCGTCGTGGTATCCATGCGTTGTCCTTTAGTCGTTCTACCTACTACCACTACTAAGGGACAATAGGTACAGTCCAACATAGTCGTTCTACCTACTACCACTACTAAGGGACAATAGTCTTAGTTTTCACAGGTTATGGGCCCTGTCAGTGCAAATGTGCCAGATTAAGGGGGAGTGTTGGATTAGTAATCTGTCACATGACCTGGACATAAATGTTCCAGCATGGTTACCCCGAAGAGGTGGAACCAGATCAGGGCATATAAAACTATCCACCTCAGTAACTCAAGGTCAGGTAGCTCAGTTGGTAGAGCACCTGGTATATATCCAGAAGGCCTGGGTTCAAACCACCACCGTTGCCACTCCTGAACCCAGTAACAACACCGTCATGTTCAACAGCAAGAACTACATGCTTGTCCCCAACATGACATCCAATGCACCACAGGCATCAAACACAAGTACTGCCCTGACAGTGGTAACAACGACTGAGTACGACCATATAACGTTGGCCGACTATGATCAGGAGGAGTACTACGCTATGATTGCCACGACGGGAGATGCGCGTACATCTGTCAACTGGGGTGTCTCTTCCGCTGCCTACTCTGCCAAACAATGCAATGCAACTCAAGCTGGGGAATGCCCATTCATTCTTGACACTGGCGCAACCTGCCACATTTCCCCAGAAGCAACCGATTTCAAGTCGATCTGTCGCATCCCACGCCACCCTGTCAAAGGCTTGGCCGGATCCGTGGTCTACACTGTAGGAATTGGTGACATTGACCTCCATATCGCAAGCGGCCATACACTCAAACTCACCGGCGTTTTGTACATACCCGACTCCTCAGTCCGATTCATATCAATCATCGCCCTGAACAAAAGCAGAAATTACACTACTCATTTTGACTCGACCTCCTGCTGGGTAACGAACAGAAGCAACACCACGCTTGTACGTGGCACCATATCCGACTCCAAGGGCCTCTACGTCCTCACAACCAAACTCCCAACCAACCAACGTCAAGCTCTTCACCATTCCCCCACTGCCCTTTTCACTCGCGTCCCTGATATTGAAACTTGGCATCGCCAACTCGGACATTGCAATAACTGAAACATTGTTGAGATGGCTAAGAACAATGTTTCTGAAGGTATGCCGATAGACCTTTCATCTCTTCCCCCTAGATGTGATCTTTGTGCCGTCAGCAAGCAGTCGCGCTCAACGATACCGAAGACGCGGGAGGGTTTGTAAGGCAGAAAAACGCTTGGAACGGGTGTATGTGGACTTGTGTGGGCCGATGTCTGTGGCTTCTCGAACCAGTAATTGTTACTCCATGAACGTAATCGATGACTTTTCTGGCTATGTATGGAGCATTCCTTTACGTGCTAAGAGCGAAGCATGTGCCGCCATCAAAACTTGGCACAAGGCGGTGACAACCCAAACGGGAGAGAAGCTCAAGATCCTCATAACCGATAATGGTGAACTGGTCACCAACGAAGTCCGAAATTGGTGCAATACCAAAGGCATCGATCACCAGCTCACGGCCCCCTATACGTCAGCCCACAATGGAAGAGCTGAGTGCCTTGTCGGAGTAAGGTCACGGGACATCACGAGGCATTTACGACACATGACTACTACTACACGTGACTCGTACTATATTTGCGTCTTGGTATACAAACATACGACCTTCAGTCGTTTCCCTTCCTCTATGACTGAGGGTCCCTAGTTTTACAGGTTATGGGCCCTGTAAGCGCAAATGTGCCAGATTAAGGGGGAGTGTTGGATTAGTAATCTGTCACATGACCTGGACATAAATGTTCCAGCATGGTTACCCCGAAGAGGTGGAACCAGATCAGGGCATATAAAACTATCCACCTCAGTAACCCAAGGTCAGGTAGCTCAGTTGGTAGAGCACCTGGTATATATATCCAGAAGGCCTGGGTTCAAACCCCAGTCTGGTCATATTATGCAGCTCTTAACAGGTGCTGTAAAAACTAGGGACCCTCAGTTATAGAGGAAGGGAAACGACTGAAGGTCGTATGTTTGTATACCAAGACGCGAATATAGTACGAGTGACGTGTAGTAGTAGTCATGTGTCGTAAATGCCTTGTGATGTCCCGTGACCTTACTCCAACACTCCTCCTCGACACATACATGGTAGCGTGATGAGATATCAAAGTAGTGGTAACCAAGAACGTGTGGTAATCAAAAAGGTGGAAGGTATATGATGATGGCATGAAAAATAGGGATGATCGAAAAGGTGGATAACCAAAGCGTGAAAAAGAATAGAAGTCAAAAAGCGAAAAGTGGAAACATTGAACAGTGGAAACATCAGACATTCTCCTCCTCACTGAGAGCGTTCGATTGAAGTGTTCGCAGAGAGGCCAAGATATTGCTGTAGTCGCAGGAAGTCCAGCTTTCCCAGTGGCTTCGTCAAAATGTTGGCGGTATTTTCTTTAGATGAGACACGAGAGATGGTGATTTCGCTGGATTGAACCAGTTCACGGGTGTAGTGAAATTTGATGTGTATGTGTTTTGTGTGCGAATGCCAAACATGATCTTCGGTGAGGCGCGTCGCGGCGTCGTTATCACAGTAGAGGCGAGACGGTGAGGAGGGATGTAAGCTTAGACCGGAGAGGAGCTGGCGCAGGAATATAGCTTTGTGTGAGGCGTCATGTAGGGCCATATACTCAGCATAGCAGGACGAGTTGGCAACAGTGGCTTGTTTCCGCGAGCTCCAAGAGATCATCCCGGATCCTAAGGAGAAGCAGTATCCGCCAATCGAGTGACTTGTGTCCACACAGTTGGCGTAGTCCGAGTCTGAGTAGCCCATAAGATTGAGAGGATTGCGACCGCCAAGAGTGAGTGATAGTAGCTGAGTACCCTTGAGGTAACGAAGTACGCGGATGGCTGCTGCCCAGTGCTCCGGCCGATAGCAATCGAGAAACGTAGAAAGACGCCCAACCGCATAGGCAATGTCTGGGCGAGTCGCAACGGCAAGATACATGAGACTACCCACCAACGATCGGTAGGGTGTGCGTTCAATCCATTCAGAGACTTCAGTCGGGATTGGACAAGTCTTGTCAGAAAGAGCCATGAAAACCTGGGACCCCACGCACAAATACATCTGATGAAGAAAGCTCTCGACGCCCGTGTCTCTCTTGCACCTCCTCTCAACCTCAGTCGCACCTTAAACGACATCGACCGCCTGCACGACAGGTTCACCAAAATGGGTTGCATTGATGATGACAGCTAAAGATACTCCCTCTACATAAATTGCCTTGACCCCCTTCCCCATTTACAATCAGCTGTCAACGAAATGCTTCAGTCCAATACCTCAATCACCTCGACTGACGTTAAGGATCACGTCATCCACGAAGAACAGCTCCTTCAACGTCGTGAAAACCTCGGCATCCCCCCTCACCAGCAGCCCAACAGAGACTACCGCACTCGCCGCCACCACAAACAAGCCCTGACCAGTCTGTGCCCATTGCAAGCGCAACAATCACTGCACCGAGTACTGTATTTCTCCAGGAGGGGCAATGGCTGGCAAAACCATTGAGGAAGCACGGACTGCGCAGAGAGCCATGGCAGCAAGCAGGACAATCATCTCGTGGAAATCGCAACAGCACGTCCCAGAGCAACAACAACAATACTTCTCAACAACCGGCACTGGCGCCAGTGGAACCCGCGAAGCACAGCAACACCTTGACCGTCAATGGGAAATGTTAACATGCTGGTCTCCGACAGCACCACTCCTACGCCGCAAACCAATGACAACACTGCTCTCGCTGCCATCACAATGCCTGACTACGACCAAGAGGAATACTTTGCCATGCTCGCCACGACGGAAGTTGCCAGCGCTTCCCTTAACTGGGCCGAAAACACGCAACTAAACATTCCTGTGGAAGGCACAGTCGCATATTCCACCAGCCGTTGTACCATGACTCGTGCTGAACTCCCATTCATCTTAGACACAGGCGCAACCTGCCACATCTCCCCTGAAGCGTCTGACTTCTTTTTTTTTTTTTTTTTTTTTGAACCATGTTTATTCCGGGACAGTACCTAATACAAGACCGGTCGAGATGAACTCATTTACGAAGTAGTTTAGTGGAGGTCGCACCGAGTAAGGAGAGAACTCGTAGGTAAGGTATAAAGCCGCCCTTTCAAAGGACAGCGGGTAAGGTGTCATAAAGTAGGTTGGACATGCCCCAACCGAAGTCCGAGGCACAGTCATGTGGTACGTGAAAAAGTTTGATGAGAAAATAAAATGAAATACTCCCCCAACGTGTGGACGGGCTGCCACCATGTGACAGGGCCATCCAGGTCTTGAGAACGCGCAGTTTATCCCAGATCAAACGGGACGGGGCCCGTCTCCGGCCTTGAGGCAGCTCCGGACATCTGCAAGTACACAAGGAACCAACGTGTGACATCAGCTTCCCTGAAGAGCGTTTTGATGGGTGTATGGCTAATATCCATAAACCGGGAGTTCCAACATCTTATTGTGGACACGGCAAACTCGTCGACAATGATAGATGAGGTGAGGGATGGACGCTCCTGAGCGCCACATGGACAAGTGGAGGCTTCAGGAGGGAGGTCGGTCGGTGTCGTTTAATGTATTCGGAGGTGAAGCAATGCTGTACGGCTAGCTGAAAGGCCACGCATTGTGCTTTGCGGGCAGATATCGGGTGGAGTGACCTGCCGAACCGAAGTGACCGGTCCGGGAGGGCGGTCAGGGTGAACTTTGTAGCTTTTTGGGATGGCGGCGGAGAATGAGAGGGTGGTTGCGGCCATCCGGTGGTAGTTGGATGCCGAAGTCGTACGCAGCGAAATCTCGGCCAGATTTTAATCTCCGGCTCTGAGTCCACCTGTAGACCAGGCGTGGTAAGCGCGCTGACGGGCTCGGGCCTTATAGTAGGCAGCTGTTTGAACGCGGTTGAGGGAAGAGAGTGGGGTCCTAGCACAAGCACCAGAAGCGGCCAGCCGGGAGAGGATAAACTGTGTGCGTTCCTTCAACACTGGAGACCACACACACGTGAACAGTGGTGTCCCTGGGAGAAGAGAAGAAAGACGTAAGTGAATGATGGAAACGTAAGAGGTCTTGTTGATTTTTAACCCCCTTGAAATTATGAATGCGAGAAGTGGCGCTTGTGTCACCGCAGAGTATGTAAACTTCTTTGGGCGCGACCCCCTGTGAGTAAGTAAGAGAGATGTACTCTGCCGCCTTGCTGATGGCAAACAGAGAAAGTCCCCCTGAGTGACGTCCGTTCCCAGACACCACTGTCGGACCAGCTGACTCTCCCTCTTGTGATACAAGCGGCCGCACGCCCACATTGTTTGTTGTCGAACCGGCCCTTATTCGAGACCGTT